CGCGCCCCCCCGCCCCTTAATGCGAGTGCATATTGACTGCAGTAATTCATCATATTACGGTAAGCTAACGCCACTAACTAATGTGGCATTTGCATCTATAGCTACCTTTTCTTATATATCACTGCTTCTTTTTTACATATATTGTCTATCAGAACTTCTGCTGGTCATGTCCTTTTCTTACACCATTCTCTATACTAAATGTACGCAAGGACATTCTCTGATATCAAACTATTTTACCACTAAAGGTTTCTCCCTAAAGCATCGTTTCACTTAATATTCGAAATAAAACTTCCGTAAAACGCTTTTCCACCTTCTTTGACATGTATCCACATAACTCATCGAGTTATGCCCAAAAAACTCGATTCTACACATCGAGCATCATAAAACATTCAGGTTTGATAAACGACTAAAACGAGAAAAGCTATAGCAAAAACCCACACGAAAGGTGTCGCAATCTAGCAGATACTGGAAAAATAATAGAACAAAAACAGCCAAAACTCTAACGTACTATACATCTAAAAAAGAAAATCGACATAATGCATACATATAGCTACACATCACTATAATACACAAACCAACTCTGATTGGCTCAAAACACGAAAAACTCGCAGGTCCCATGGATAAAACCTGGAAAAAACGAAAAAAAGACGCGAAGTAGGTAATCGACTATGACGCATCAGATGGGCGGGTGCACGAGGCTCCCAGAGGGTCTCCAGGAGAACTTCAGAAAACTCTTCGTTAACAAGTAGTGTAAAAGCAAAATTCGACCAACAAGATTGCTCTAAAAGGTTGCGCATAGCCATTTTCTGAGCCACCACGGTTCTTATGTTTCCCATACACGATTAAAAGACATGAAAAAAATAAGTGAGGGGACCGATATGCGGCAAAAATGCACAAGAAAAGCAAAACCAGAATAGCGAAAAATATAATTTGATAAGTACTCTGTTTGGACATTTTAAAGCAATATTCCGAAAGCATTTACCATTGCATTTACGATTTTGACATTTTCATATCGGCTTACATTCTGCGAAAGAGTATGGCATCGACAGGATGTTTGATATGTCCACTCCCAACTCGAAAAGGTATTTTTCATACGTGAATAACAGATCTGTCCTTCTCTTATGTATCTCTTTTATTTCACACGTTGTTGTTGGCTACACTATAGTAGACAAAAGCTGCGTAAGTATTTTTCTACTGTTCGCGATCTCATTTGATTCCCTTCGATACTTTTTGTTTGTCTGATTGCTTATTTCAGTTTAACTGGAAGTTTTACTGGAATAAGCAATCAGACAGCTATTTAGCTTCTTCTAGCTTTTACATGCATGTAAAAGATTCACCTTGTGCACGTCTCTTCTACTTCATTGTATGCGACGAACTGAGAACAGAAGCAAATACACATCTTTTGAAAGACTTAGGGAAGCCGTCAAAACTACGATCGAATAAATCGGATCAAACGAATCATTCGGATCAATCGTAGAGTAATGCAGAGCACTCCTCTGTGATGTTTGTATGAGAGAGAAAATATGTTAAAATCTATCATTTCTATTCCATTTTATTCATTTTTTCTATAAATTACTTTTTATTAACTCTTATATATAACACATCAAAGAACACATAAACTGTACTAATTAATTATAGGCAGTAGCCAACACTACTTCTTTTGAACAGAAAATAAACGAACATGTCAATATAAATATAAAATCTGCCTTTTCTTATTTTGTTCTTTAAAGAGAGATAACGTTCTATACACATATATACGAGTCATGCTGTAGCAAGCAATCAATTATACAATTCTGAATATACTTAAATCTCAAAATACGCTTTTCTAAAATATAAGCCAAATTTTAATTTAATCTTATTTTCATGTTTCATTTCCACTTTATTTCATTATCTACATAAAATTAATGTGAATATTCACTAAATACCTAAAGTTTGAACACATATTATGACTGATTGTCATGAGAAAGCCGGAAAGTCATGGTAGTCAAAAAGAACAGTTTATCTAGCTGCTGAATATAAAAGAAGAAAGTATGATTTATTAAACGTTAATCACCAATATTGAGAGCCACATATCTCAAAAACTAAAAGGGATCTTTTTCTTCCGAATATGTAAAAATTCCGAGACCCGCTTCTATAGAAAAAAACCATCAAATTTTGATATGTTGTACTGTAGTGTAGGAAAGCATGAAATCTCAGCAAGATCCTCGATTAAAAATCGCGGTTATCTTAGTGTACAGCATAATCGACCATTTCTAATATCTATGATTCCCAAATCACTTTTATATTTTAGCAAGTGATAAGGTCAAATAGAATATATATACTACCTATAATTAATTAGGACAGTTGATGTGTTCTTTGATGTGTTATATGTAAGAGCTAATAAAAAGTATTGATACTTTGTTTAAGCTGAAACATTTTATAATAGAGATCCTATCTTTAGACTAAAGACGAAATGTCTCATTTGAAATAGTTATTTCAACATGAAAAGGTGATTTTATTCCTGATTTCTATAATAAAAAGTAATCTACTGGAAAAATGAATAAAACGGAGTAGAAAAGATAGATTTTATATATTTTCTCTCTTATACAAACATCAAAGAGGAACGCTACATTATTCTATGATTGATCCGATTGATTCGATCGTAGAGTCATACTACACTTTTACATGCTATAGTAAAGACGTGTTCTTTTTTTTCTTCTTGTTGTATTTACTATAGTTGATATAAACACGTGCCTGTTTTATCTTCTTTAACTTTTACTGTACTATACAGAAATTGATAAGAATAACAGAGTTACAAATTCTATTAGTGATCCAAACGTTTGCAATCCAGAGAGCCACAATATAGATCTGGACGATATTACTGACAATCATGATGATTTTCAGACTCAGTTATCACATAGAGAAAAACAGAAATTGAAACGACACAGACATAAGCAAAATGGAGATGAATCATCTAGTTTTACGCCAAAACGTAATCGTAATGAGAATAATGACACCCATCAGAAAAGGATAAGTGAAAATACAAATCAATATGCTACTTCGTCGTATTTTAACACAAATCGTATATATCGTAAGCAAGGTAATAAGTCATCGCTTTACAAAAAACAACAGAGAGTGACTTTTCCTCTTTTTCGTATTAAATTGAGCGATGGAAACAAATTTCCTCAGAATGACGTCGTCATTATTAAAGATATAAATCGCAACTGTAAGATAAATTTAACGTACGGACGTCCTGTTGTAATAGATCAAGAAAAATGTTATCTGTAATATGCAGATACGGCAACACAATCGATTTTCTATTAAATACAGAAAATTGGCCGGATAGAATTTGTAACAATCAACATTCAGTTGAATTACCAAGAAAAATTCCATCATCATTTTCTATCGTTGTTAAAAATGTTCCGGCTCAACGGAATGCTGCTGGTTTCGGGGAAGAATTAAAACAAAGGTATTCAACAATTGTTAGAGCTGAAAGGCTCTTTATTAAAGGAGGTCGACCAATTTCTAAAGTCCGTGTGGACTTTTCATCCAACAAAGACTTAGCTGAAATACTTAAAATGAAACGTATATTATTGGATGATGAATACACTTCGTACCAAGTTGAACCTTACGTGCCATCAATTCACATTGTACGTTGTTATATTTGTCAAGCATATGATGATCACATAGCTGCCTACTGTACAAATAAAGAAAACCCTATATGTTTTAAATGCGGACAGAATCATGTCTATAATCGCAATTGTCAAAATGAAACACGATGTGCGCATTGTCAAGGGGGGCATATGGCAGGTAATCTAAATTGTCCAGTAAAAATTGAAAGACGCTAAATAAAGACACAACAAAACAGAACATCGAATGATAAACAGATGCCATTAGTGTCTGGGCGAATACGCCAGGCCGATTACCTTTTCGTAATGCCTCAATGACATCGCTGACAAATGAAAATACCAACCAACTATGGAAAAGAACAAAGATGTACGATCGAAAAAATAAACTATACAACGATGGCAATTATGCAGAATCAGAAAGATCTTTATGAACATTTCACGTTGTTGAATACAAAAATTAAAAATCAAGTGAATGAAATCGTGGCCGTAAAACTTCTTATCAATGATATTGTATGTCCATTGGTTAGAGAAATTTCGAATATCAGTTATGGTCAAGTTAAAGGTCAAAATAAACAAAAATTAACTCCATTATACAACAAACTAATGAATTATTCTATGATTGATCCGAATGATTTCGTTTGATCCGATTGATTCGATCGTAGTTTTGATAGCTTTCCTTACAATATTTTTTCTTTTAGAAGCGAAACACTCAGCCGTTTCGACGAAACGAACAAACACAGTATTGTAAGTCTTTCGAAAAATGTGTATTTGTTTTTGTTCTCAGTTTGTCCCATATAATTGAAGTAGAAGGGACGTGCACAAGGTGAATCTTTTACGTGCATGTAAAAGCTAGAAGAAGTTAAATAACTGTGAATCAAATTACATAGTAAGTCTGAAATGCACATTGAAACAAGCTATGAGTGAACTACGCTCCATTGTATCAATCGAACGATGCTCCCTCAAAATCTAAACGTGTGTAGGAAACTCTTTTTAGGTTCTTATTGTATACTTGTGTGCAGAAAAGTGACTTGCCCACTATCACTTATGTGACACCCAAAATATCCTGACTTGGACGAAAACCTCATAGACTCCCAAAAGCATCATTACATAATATCAAGTTAGATATAATACAAGAGGAAGCGCTATATATCGTTTGGTAGATCTAGACGAGCAGAGGATCAACGATACATGTGCCCGAGCCTTTTTCGCATGTACACTAAAATATGCATGCTGAAAAACCGACGTTTTAGTCAATGATGTGCTCAACCACTAAATATCTGTCTATCTCCAGTGGAGTAGAACGACACAAGGGTAGTAACCTAGGTATATGGATTAGAATCGATATGCCTCGGACACTAGCCGATATTTGTTAAAAACCACGACTGAAGGCCAAAGCTTGCACCCACGGTCGCGAAACGTTGAATTCTATTTATTTAATTATTTCATTAATTATTCATCTCTGAAGTGTAAAAAGCATGAGAAAATTTTAAAAACGAGCTAGTATTAACAACGGTAACGTCAAAAGTAACGTTTTCTAAACAAAACGCATTTTTTGAGCACTTGATTGAATTTTCTTTTGTTGTGCGATTTAGGTGTAGATTTTTGTTTATAACAGAGGTTCCGCTTGCAAGTCGATTCTCATTTCTGCCAAAAGAATGTCCTCTCAGTCTACTGCTAATCCGCAGCATGAGTTTTCAGGTCGCCTTGAAGACAACGCACGTTTAGTCTGGAACGCAGCTTTTTTCGAAATGAGATTAAATTGTTATAATCGACTGAAGATGCTACTAAATAGTTCGAAAGCCACGCGTTTTAGATATAAAGCTGTCAGAGCTCACAAGTTCGAACAAATCCCCATATTCATCTTCTGAGTTCCATATCATGAAAGCTAGATGGAATGAAATTGTGTTTTTTTTTCTTTGGTACTGTGCACATGTTAGCGAAACAAAATAAAACAAAAGCTCACCGAAATTTATTGAGTAAAAGCCGATATATTGACAGTTGACTTGCATGGGTAGCAGTACACTGGAAGTGTTATTCGGTTTATAGCCAAGATATGATCTGTCGCGAAAAAGTCAATCACTCCCGAATGATTGGTCGGCCAATCACTGTTTCTTCCCTTCATTCAACAGACGTAAATTTACAGGATGTCTCATCAATGACTCAAACACTTTCTTTTTGACTGTTGTCCAGCAAAATCGTAGCGACAACAGATTTTATCTTTGCCATCTGTAATAGGAAAGTAGGATTTCCCATTGAAACTCTCGGAAATTCAGAGAATATTGAGACATAAGTGAAAAACTTATTTGCTACTGTATGTATTGAAACAAGTACCAAGAACTGAAAAGGCAAAATAAGAAATGCTTGAGAAATGTTGTGAGTATTATGTATTGAACAAACGTGAAATGAGAAAGATTAACCAATTTCGTGAGACTTACACATCGGAAAAGGCTATTGAATGGTATACGGATGAATGTTTTCTGTTTAAACTATTGAACAAAGCTCTTCGAACCGAAGACATTGAACTACTCTATTCATTTCGATATTTTTATTGATTTATGTGCCGAATTGGAGAAAGAACAGCAGAAACTGGGAGAAAAAGGTAAAGAAACATTGGCTCTATACAATGTCATTGGGCGCAGTGTTTCGGATCGAATCTGTTGAATTTGACTCGCGAATCGAAGTGTGGAAAATAAAAATGAGAGCGACCGACGAAGGATCGAAAGATCTTGAAGGATATATCAAGATAACAGGACAACAAATGGAAGAATATAGTCCAATCATTTTATTCAGACGTCTCATGATGAGTGAAATAGGACAGGTAGAGAAGGCTGAGAAATATTTTAACATGTTACTGAAAACTTTACCAAGAGAACATGAAGATATTATTTCTGATGCAAAACTATGACTGGTTGCAAAACTATGAGCGAGTATTACGCCAGAAACAGTTTCATCCAGATCATCCAAAAATAACTGGCTCGCTTAACAACATTGCTAATATCTACAGATCAAAAGAGGACTTTGATCGAGCTTTGGATTATTTCCTAAAATGTTTATCTATCGAAGAAAAAAATTATCCTGTAGATCATATCGACACAGCTAAAAATCTGAGCAACACTGGTCCGATTTATCTCGACAAAGAGAACTATGATACTGCGCTTGATTATTCCGTAAAAGCATATGAAATGTATAAAAGCTGTTTTCCTACATTGGCAATGTTTTTTGTATTTTATATGTGTTACTAGTCGTACGGCGTATTTATAGCCATTGTGTAAATATTATGATGTTAAGTCGTGTTTTTTTATAATATACACAATATTTAATTACCATAATTTTTGGAGTAAATAAATAATAAAACTAATATATAGCAAAACTATATAGTCAAATAAAACGCAAATTATACTCCTGTAATGACAGAAAAGATACCAGAGTATAATTATACATTTAAACACTTCCTCTTAGAATAATTTGATGTAATAATATGCAAAATATAACTATTTGCACGTTTTTAAGAAGAAAAGTATCTACTTCTTTGCATTAAACTATTCTATAAAACCTGATCAAGTCTGCTGCTGCTTCGTTATTTTGTTGACAGCAATCGAGGTAGGTTGTTTGAATGGAACATCCAAAATGGCAGTATAGTCACTTTACCCTACA